ATATTATTTTTATTCAGCTATTTGTGTCCATATTACTTCCTCCAATAGAATTTCAGTTCCTTGAGGCCAGAGACTGTTTCTTTTTTATCTTTGTATCATGAGGACCAGAATCAGTGCCTGGCACATAGTAGGCTCTGAACAAATGCTTGTTGAATGAATGCATGAATGAAAGATATCTTTTTGTTTCTTACATCATTTAACCCATTAAAGATATGGGTTCGGTTATAAATTTCTGACTTCTGGAAGAAAACCTTTGCATTACTTAACTGGGCAGTGCACCCAATTGAGATGAAAAATCTGTTTTTGGTTAAAGAAGGTTTTGCAGATTGATTCTTACTCTTCCCTAAAATTAGTTATTTTTTCCTTTTAAATAATTATTTTATAATTTTTCAAATTAACAATAATTTCTTTTCCCTGACACCTACTCCCTGCTCCAACTGACACAAAAATAAAAATAAAGTACTTGTAACAAATATACTGTATATTGGACATCTCAAAATTGGATGTATTACAGACATCTCATACTCAGCATGTATAAAAGTGAGCTTAATTATCTCTTCTTTGGCACTGATAAAACCCTGACAAAACACAGCCCTGATCACCTCACACCCGGACTGCTGCCATAGTTTTCCAGCTGGTTTCAAGTCTCCCTCCACTCAGCTGTCAAACTGATTTTCATAAAGAATGGGTCTGACATGTCACTCCTCCTTCTCCCCTAATTTAGTAAACTCCAGTGGCTTCCTAACATTTCCAGGATCAGATGTAAACTCTTCTGATGACCAGAGCCCTTTGTAACCTGGCCCTGTCCTACCTTTCTAGTCTTCTTATACAGCTGTCCCTTAAAGCCCATGTATTCTGAGATCTAGTCACACTGGCTTGCTTGCTGTTCTTCCCACATGACAATATATATCCTAATTGTACATTTTCACTGGCTGCTTCCCATGCCTGGAATTCTCTTCCTCCTTAATTCTACTTCCTGGCTTTTCTGAGTTTCTTTAGGTCCATGTTAAAATTTCACTTTTCTTCAAGAAGCCTTCCGTGATCCTTCTTAAGGCTGTCAGCCTTTCCTCTGCGATTAAGTGGCACAGTGGATAGAATGCCAGACTTGTAAGAGGAGTCAGGAAGACTGCACTTCCTGAGTTCAAATGTGGCCTCAGACACTGTTTGTCTCAGTTTCCTCATCTGTAAAACGAGCTGGATAAGAAAATGGCAAACCATTCTAATATCTCTGCCAAGAAAATCCCAAATGAGATCCCAAAAAAATCCCCAAAAGTTGGACATGACTAAAAAATGACTGAATCCTATCTTATTTGTACATAGTTGTTTGGATGTGGTCTCCCCAATTAGACTAAGAATTCTTTGAGAGAAGGGACTATTTTTGCCTTTCTTTGTATCCCTAATGCTTTGCAGAGTGCCTGACACAATAAATTACTATTGGTTTGAGTTGATTTGACACAGTTAAGTGAAGCAAATTGGCCATGTCTAAACATAAAGGTCTTATTCTGCATTTTGAGTCTATTTTCTCTTTGGCAGTAGGTGGGTAACAAGGTTTATATTTGGTTCTCTGGAATCACGGTTTGTCATTGAGAACATCAGGGTTCTCAAGCCTTTCAAAGTTGTTCTTTTTAAATGTTTTCATCATACAAATTATCCTCCTGGTTCTGCTCACTTCATTCTGTATCACTTCACAGAGGTCTCCATCTGTCTCATCATTTCTCAATCTCTCATTGCCCAATAATATTCCATTACATTCATGGAAGATACTTTGTTTAGTCATTTTCCAAATGTTGGACACCTCACAAGTTTCTAGGTTTTTGTTGCTATGAAAAGAGCTGCTATAAATATTTTTGTAGACATCAATATTTTTCCTATTTCTTTGATCTCTGGGGATAAATGTATAGTAGTTGTGTCCCTGGGTAAAGGAATAGGAGAAGTTTAGTGCCTTTTTAGGCATACTTCCAAATTGCTTTTAAGAATGGTTGGATCAATTCATAATTACAACAGTGTCTATTTTGGGTTTCTTGCAGCCCCTTCAACATTTGTCTTTTTCCTCTTTTGTCATATTTGCCAACCAGATGAGTGTGAGGTAGAACCTCAGTATTGCTTTAATGTGCCTTTCTCTAAATATTTGTGATTTGAAGTATATTTTTTCATATGATTGTTGATAGCTTATATCCTTCCTTTGAAAACTTCTTATTTATAGCCTTTGTTTAACTATCAGGAAATAGTTTTTGTTCTTAGGAATTTGGATCAGTTTCTTATATATTTTGGAAAGGAGACCTTTATCAGTGAAAAAACAAAAACAAAAACAAAAAAACCTTTTTACAAATATTTTCCGCCAGTTACTTGTTTTCCTTTCTAATTGCAATTTCATTAGTTTTGCTTGTACAAAAACCTCAACATTTTGTACAATAAAAATTATCTATTTTACCTTCTGTGTTTATCTCTATCACTTAGTTGGTCATAAACTATTTGAAAAGTAATTCTTCCTTTTTGTTTTAATTTGCTTATGATTTCACCTTTCATATCTAAGTCAAGGATCCACTTGGAGTTTATCTCAGTTATTATATGGTAGGCAGCTAGGTGGATAGAATGCTGAGGCTGGAGTCAGGTAGACCTGAGTTCAAATACGACCACAGATTCTTAGTAGCTCTGTGACACTTGACAAGTCATAAAACTTTTGTTTGCCTCAGTTTCCTTACCCATAAAATTGGGGTAATCACAGCACCAACCTCTCAGAGTTACTGTGAGTATCAAATGGGATAATATTTGTGAAGCCATATAAATGTTAACTACTACTATTATTATTATTAGTATTACCCAAGAATTTGCTGGTAATTTTTAACTGGCTCTCTAGAGAAAAATATGTATACATAATACACTTCTAAGTTAAATCTGCATTATTAACATGTTCTCTACTTTCTTAAGTCTAGGTAATCAACAAAACAAGAAATTAGGCCCTAGTTTGTAACATTTGCTAATTTTCTAGATGTAAATGCTCACATTGAAAATTTAACAATCAGTGGGAATGAGCTATAGTGCAACCCTGTTTTTACTAATTTTTGCCAGATTTCTAGTTTCCCCAGTATGGTGATTAAAACTGGAAGGTTTTAGCAGTCATTCATTTAAATGCCTACTAGGTACCAGGCACTATGCTAAGCAATAGGAATACAAAAGTCAGTTTTTCATCTCAAGAAGCTTACAGTCTAACTGGTAAACAGAATTAAACAGAATTTATAGAATTCTATTTCAAATAAATGATTAACTTCTCTTACAATTCTATTCTAATTCCAGTAAACAGAAGGCTGCAACAGTTGACAGAACTTCCTCTACAACATTCTTAGTCAGTGGTTATCCAGCTTCTACTTCAAGTGAAAGATAATTCACTAACTCCTGAGGCAAGCAATTTGCAAACAATTTTGAATATTAGTATGTTCTTTCTGTTAGTGAATATTACTACTACTATTACTACTACTACTACTACTACTACTTACTACTACTACTACTACTACTACTACTGCTGCTGCTGCTGCTGCTGCTGCTGCTGCTGGACTGCTATTACTGCTGCTATTACTACCAATAATAACTACTATTCCATTGGTCCTAGTTATATCCTCATCAACTACGCAAAATGCTTGATCTCTTTTTCATATTACCTTACTGCAAATATCAGAAGAGAGAAATATTTCCTCCCTCAGATTTTTCTTTTCAGGCTAAATATTCTTGGTATTTCAGTTGATCCTCATTTGATATTGGCCAGTTGAAATGGATTAACTTATTAGGTATGGGTGAGAAGACATGATTTCTAAGGTTTCTTCTAAACTCAGAATCCAGTAATTCTATTATTCTAATTCTAAGCCATTTATAGGCCATTCCACACTTGTTCCAAACAACCTGTGGAGATGGCCACCCCCAAATTTTTTGCATTATTGGCCCTTAGGGAAATGTACACTCAAAACACGCATTATAATTGTATAATAACTTACATATAGCACAAATTATAATAATAATGTCATATAATCTCTATTTACATTAATAGATATATTAATTACAGTATTACCATATTCTTGTCTAGATGGTAGCTCATCTGTTATTTTTTCTGTCTATTCATATGGCTTGCTAAATATTTGCAGAGTTTATCCCTGTAAGCTTGGCATTTTACCATCTAAGAAGTGAATGTCATCTTCAAAGGAGGAGATTTTGTTGTGTGTTCCCTTTTTCAGATTACTCATGGAAACATTATGACAATATTAATTATGATCAGGTCCAACCAATCCTTGAGAAACTCCATTGTTCTTTAAGATTATACACTAAAAAGAAGTCACTCTATTTCACAGTGATAATTTTCATGTATCAAGTCACTTTTCTCCAAACTGTTGTGAAGGTTCATATTATATTATACACAATGATTATTATATATTCACAAAAGCTGTTTAGCTTATGTAATAAATGTATAGTCAGTTGGAACTTTAAACTTTATAAAATATGAAACCAAGGAAATAGTCTTTCAGATGAAAACTATGCAACTAAATAAACAACAATAATAACAAATAATTCTGATAATTAGAAGCCAAAAAATAAGTTTCTGCCCTTAAAAATTCTAAATAAATTTTAAATATGAGTCTATCTAAAAACAAAAATGCTAAAAATTACTTTAGTTGTCTTAACTTTTTTTCCATGTTCTCTTTATGCAATTTAGCAAATAACAAAGTTAGTAATCAGGATGATCATATATTATTTTGACTCACATATATTATATACAATGCTAATATTACTGTAAGCATATCATGAAAAGTATCCAATTTAACTTAGAACTTATTTTTCCAAAAGAGAAAAATGAAAAACAACCTAAGAAAGTGTCATGAAGACAGATGCCTATAAATTTATACAGGCTAAAGTATGTATGTGTTGGGGTAGAACTAGAAGTGCCAAGGAGAGGACAAGAAGAGAGATCAAGGAGAATAACAATGTGTGCATATGGGGCTGTGAATTTTTGTTACCTGAGCATTAAGCAACTCCTCACACTTGCGAGCTTGTTTTTCAATGGCAGAGATATACTGTTTTTCAATAGATTCTTCTTGCTGCTTAACTGTAGTCTGCAGTAATGCCTGAAAACAAGCAAAAAAGGGAATTTGTACAGAGAAGGCACTTGAAGTCCCCAGCTAGTACAAGAAAATTCTGACACCCTGAAAATTAACTTCAACATTCATGCATATCAGAAATCTTAGATTCAGGGCACCCAAAAGACAGACATTTTAATGTCCTGAAGCACATCACACATAACACTTTTTAAACTTTCTTGGCTATAAATGCTCTTGGAGCCAAGATTATAATTTTTTGGCTCACATGCCCTCTTCACACACCTTCTCTTTAGAAAAGACTAAGTCATAGAGGAAGATAAAGAGGGTAAGCAGTTCAGTAAAATATAAATTCAGGTTTGTGGGGACCACACAGGACGAGAAGCATATGAAAGCTGCTAAAAAAAAAATCCAGACATATTTCACTGGCTGACAAAACTCCACATCCTCTCGGCACACTGCAATATCCCATGGGCCAAGCATGATCTTCAAGACCACAAATCAAGTAAAAGCAGATGGAAACTCTGAGCAATTTTAAACATAAAAAGTACCCCCCAGGAAGTTCACACCCCTGATCTTTAGACATAGAAATCAAACAGCACAAGTCAGAACCTCAAGACACTATTCACAAAATAAATAATAAAATCAGGGACATCAGACAGATGTGAGTGACCAGTGTAAAGGTTAAAGTATCCATCTGCTACATTAAAAATAACAACACTCAACCAAAGGAATCAAATTAGCATTTCAAGATGCTGCATCCACCTACTTCCTCAGTTCAGATAAAATCTTGTCTTCTTGTTCCCCTCTCCCCAATATGTATTATTCAATTGTATTCCCAGTGTTACACTGCATTGCATATATGTGTGTATGTATATGTATATATGCATGTATGTGTATAAATGTATATGAATATATATGTACATGTATACACATACATATATATATTGCCATTCCAAAATATGTGCTGAACATATACAATACAAAATATTCTATTTTAAGACCATATCTGCGTAATAAACTACACATAATCACAAAAATAAGCTGAAACAGATATATGTCTTATAGAAAACAGATCTTTGGCACATTTGAGCAGACATGGAAAATGGGCCAAATCTTAAATAATCTCTGTTTTGAAAATAGATTTGCTCAGTGGGAATCAACACACATTAAGATGCACTTTAAAATGGGGAGAGGGAAGACAATTATCTTCATAATTTTGAAACCAATCTCTCATTTTGCAGGGAATTAACTTTCTTTTGAAAACTTGACTCTTTCTGACATTGCTGACCTGGTAATTTTGTAATAGTCAATCTAAAGTTGCAGGGGGGAAAAGTATAAGAAAAATGAAACTTTGAGTAAAGCATAGGAAGCATTTTAGGGCCATTAGGAAGCATAGTGGATACTGTGTGGAGTCAAGAAGCCCCATCTTCCCAAGTTCAAATCTGTCCTCACACACTTACTAGCAATGTGACCCTGGACAAGTCACTTAACCCTGTTTGTCTCAGGTTACTCATCTATAAAAGAGCTGGAGAAGGAAATGGCAAAGCACTCCAGTATTTTTCCCAAAAATGAAACAAAACAAACAACAACAACAACAACAACAAAATCCCAAGTACAGTCATGAAGATTTGGACATGACTGAAAAATAAAGTATTTTAAATTTTAATCTAAAGGTTGTCTTACTATTCATCATTATCAAGGCCACTGGTCTGAGGGATGTTTAAGTTTTAATTCTAGTTCAGATCCTTAATTAGTTATGTGATTCTGGGCACATTATCTAAGTATCCATTGCCTAATTTCATCATGGGTAAAAAAGAGGTTAGACTCCATAACCTCTAAGGTCCCTTCCAAGTCTAAATTTATGATTCTATACTTTTATAAAGGGATAGGTTGCACGATGAAAAGATGACTGACTGTGGAGTCCTGCCTCTGATTCTTACTACCTATATGACATTGGGAAAGTAACTTAACCTCCTTAGGACTCACTTTCCTCATCTATAAAGGGAGAGGGTTCAGTGAGATAGCCTCTAAGGTCATTTTCCAGCTCTAGATCTAAGACCTTAAGAGTCGCTAAAATCAAACACTCTAACCTTCGAATAACTTTTGTTATGCTATAGCTAGTTCTCATTTAAAAAAAGAAAAAAAATCTACAGGGTTTGTCTTAGAATAGTTTGTCTTTATATTTAATACTCTAATGCTTTAATGTTTACACTGCTCATTCAAGTTTGTCTATTTCCCTGACTTTCATCCAGAGTGTTTGTGTGCATGTGTTTGTGTAAATACAATATTTGGAAATAGATACTCCTTTAGGAATGACATTTATTTGCCAGTCACATAAATATAGCCTCTTGTAAAGAACTAAATATTAAGGAAATATACTCATTTTCCTAAGAACTTTACATGGAATCACTATATTTTGGCTGATAGAAAGAGTTGAATTCAATTACACTACTATGTCACTGAAACTTAGATGCCTCCCTATACTCACATAATTTATTGATATTTATTGAGTGATTATTACGTACAAAACTTTTGTGATATATGCTGAGCAAAACACATGATAAATAAAACATGATGTCTGAACTCAAGGAAAATGTAATATTATATAATATACTGTACAGTATAGTACAATAACATAATATAATATGACACGACATGACATGACATGACATGACATAACACAATATAATATAATATAATATAATGTAATATAATGTGTTTAACCGATTCATAGTCTTTCATCTTGCCTTTATCAAAGTCAATAGACCAAAACTGCAAGATGGTTCACCAGGGTTGGGATTCAATAGCTTTAGAACATTATTTCACTGTGTAAAGAAAAATGGGTTTTAATAAGGCCCAATTTATGAATCTAAGACTTACTAGCATTCCTTCCTGACCAACTGAACTAGTTTCCAAGATTACTATCTAAGGCTAATAATTCATATTAACTGGAATGAATTTACTAATTATAGAAATGCTCAACCACGTGAGAATGTGTTACTTTAATGCCCTGTTCTGTAATAGCCATCTCTTTATTTACTTGTTTGTTTGGGTAAGCATATATTATTCCTTATTTGACTTAATTTTTTAAAATTATAAATTCAAACATTAAAAAGAATACTCTCATAAACACATTTAGAACACAACTGAGAATTTTTCATTTAACAAAGAATGTATTTCACATAACTACCTTTTAAAACTATGTGTGTGTAGATTAAAGGTGGAGCCAAAATGCTAGGGCAGACAGAGAGGTAGCGGTCAAAAGCAAAACTCTAGTGAGGATGAAAAGGGAGAAAGGAGAGAGAAAAGCATAAAAAGGAGGGAAATAGGATGGAAAGAAAGACACAGACACTAATCACAACTGTGAATGTGAATGGGATGAACTCTCCCTTAAAATGGAAGCAGATGGCAGAATGGATTAAAAACCATAATCCTATAATATATTATTTACAGGACACACATTTGAAACAGAGGGATACACACATGGTAAAGGCAAAAGGTTGGAGTAGAATACATTATGCTTCAGCTGAAGTAAAAAAAAAAGCAGGGGTAGCAATCCTGATTTCAAACAAAGCAAAGGCAAAAATAGAGCTAATTAAAATAGATAAAACAGAACTGTTTCGTTTTGTTTTCTCTTTCTTGTGGTTCCTCCTATTGGTTCTAATTCTTCCTTACAACATCACTAATGTGAAAATATGTTTAATAGGAATGTATGTGTAGAGCCTATATCAGATTGTGTGCCATCTGGGGGAGGGAAGCAGGAGGCAGAGGGAGAAAAATTTGAAACTCAAAACCTTATAGAAGTGATTGTTGATAACTCAAAATGAATTAATATTAAAAATAAATAAAAAAGAGATAAGGAAGGAACCTACATCCTACTACAAGGTACCATAGTCACAGAAGTAATATTATTACTAAACACATATAAACTAGCGGCATAGCATACAAATTCTTAGAGGAGAAGTTCAGGGAGTTACAGGAAGAAATACACAACAAAACTATACTAGTGGAGGACCGCAATCTCCCACTCTCTGAAGTAGAAAGTCTAACTACAAATTAAACAAGAAATTAAGGAGGTGAATATAATTTTATAAAAGTTGGATATGAAAGAATCCTGGAGGAAAATGAATGGGGACAGAAAGGAATATATATTTTCCTCAGCAGTACATGGCACCTACACAAAAACTGACAACGTGTTAGGGCATAAAACCTCACAATCCAATTCAGGAAGGGAGAAATATTAAATGCATCCTTTTCAGATAATGGTGCAATAAAAAATTACATGTAATAAAGGAACATGGAAACATACACTAAAAAATAATTGTAAACTAAATAATCTAATCCTAAAGAATGAGTAGGTCAAACAACAAATCACAGAAACAATAACTTTATCCCAGAGAATGACAATAATGAGACAACATACCAAAACTTATGGGATTCAGTGAAAGCAGTTCTTAAGGGAAGCTTTATATCTCTGAATGCTTACAAGAATAAAAGAGAGAAAGATGAGATCAATGAATTGGGTATAAAATTAAACACTAGAAAAAGAACAAATTAAAAATCCTCAATTAAACACCAAATTAGAAATAGAGAAAACCAAAGGAGAAATTAATAAAATTGAAATTAATAAAACTATTGAACTAATGAATAAAACTAAGAGCTGGTTTTATGAATAAAAAAAACAAAAAAGATAAACTTTTGGTAAACTTGATTTAAAAAAATAAAGAAGAAAACCACAATAACAATATCAAAAATTGAAAAGGTGAATTCACCACCAATGAAGAAGAAATTAAAACAATAATTAGGAGTTGTTTACCCAACTGTACGCCAATAATATTGATAATTTTAGTGAAATGGATGAATATTTACAAAAATATAAATTGCCCAGATTAAGAGAAGACGAAATAAAATACTTAAAAATAACATCATGTCAGAACAATAAATTGAACAAGGACTCAATGAACTAAGAAAAAATTTCCAGGGACAGATGGATTTACAAGTGAATTCTATCAAACATTTAAAGCAAA